GAGGAGTGGTCTAGGTATCTCCCCTGGGCAGAGATGGCACAGAACTCTCTCCGCCACTCCTCCACTAATCTAACCCCTTTCCAGTGTGTGTTGGGGTATCAGCCGGTCCTGGCACCATGGCACGAGAGCCAGATCGAGGCCCCTGCGCTGGACGAATGGATTCGGCGCTCGGAGGAGACGTGGAACGCTGCTCATGTCCATCTGCAGCGGGCCATCCGTCGACTGAAGGCGAGCGCCGATCGCCACCGCAGTGAGGGTCCGGTGTACGCACCGGGAGATCGAGTCTGGCTCTCGACTCGAAACCTGCCCCTCCGCCTGCCCTGTCGGAAGCTGGGTCGGCGGTTTGTGGGGCCCTTTAAAGTCCTGAGGAGATTGAACGAGGTGTGTTACAGGTTACAACTGCCTATTGATTATAAGAATATTAACCCCTCGTTCCATGTGTCTCTTCTCAGGCCGGTGGTAGCTGGTCCACTCCAAGAAGGTGAGATAGGAGAGACCCCTCCGCCCCCTCTGGACATCGAGGGAGCTCCGGCGTACACGGTCAGGACCATCTTGGACTCGAGATGTCGGATGGGGGGTCTCCAGTATCTCGTGGAGTGGGAGGGGTATGGTCCGGAGGAACGGTGCTGGGTGCCTAGGAGGGATATCCTAGATCCATCTCTCCTGACTGAGTTCCACCGTGGTCATCCCACGCGCCCGGCTCCGCGTCCTCCTGGTCGTCCCCGAGGCCGGGGTCGGCGCACGGCTGGAGCCGCGCGTCAAGGGGGGGGGTACTGTCACGGATTCTGCCGAGGCTGCTCCTCCTCCTTGCTCGGGCAGGCTTCGGCGTTCGCCGTCCCCGGAGTACTAGCTGCCACCGTTAGATGTTTCAGTGTTTGATTGCTTTTGTCTGTCTATTCGCCTGTCCGTTAGTGCTGCGTGTTTTCTCTGTTTGTTGTTTTTGTAGTTTACGCAGAGTTTGCGTAATCGCTCGCCTCTGGTTTATGTTGAGGCCGTTCATTTGTATTGTGCCTTGTGTTGCACTAGTAAACTTTGTTGGACTAAGCTTCGGTGTCCTGCGCCTGACTCCCACACCGCATTCACCTCAGCCATTGACAATCCTGAGTTACTTACATTCAACCAAGTAGGTAAAACAACCACATATCCCAGTCACTGAAAGGACAAACCTTTTCTCATTGCTTCATACTAATTTGTATGCTAGTATGGATGTTAGAACAAAAGTTTGGTTTGATTTGATTCTGACAGGTTTTAACTATAAGCTCAAATCCATCAGTGTGTCATGTCCTAGAGAATAAAGAGAAACACAAGGCAACGGGAGGAGTGACTGTGAAGATTTAAGTTGACAGGACATCACTGGAGATATCTTGATACGATTTGATAGGTGTCCATCAAAGCAGAGACTGTACTGTATTGAACAGGCATAGTTCTTGGCTCTGTTCCATATATTAGACCCTAGAGAGCGGGATGAGGTTGGTTTGTTTTATTTTTATTTTCAGAAATGTATTTTCAGTTGCTCGTTACACCTATATTTACTGTAGTTTGATCAAATCATTGATATTGAGTCTTTCACAAAATGGTCTTAGAGATCATAAACCTTGGAGGAGGGTCTAAAAATTCCAGTAGCTTTCCCAAAATTACCAGGTTTTCCAGTAATCCTGGTTGGAGGGTTATGGATTTCCTGCTTCTTCCCTCATGATTTCAGGAATCTTCCAACCGGGATGTCTGGAAAACCTGGGAATAAGCAGGAAAGTTACTAGAATTTTGCAACCCTACCTAGGAGTTATCTCATGCTATTGAGGGATAGAGAATGTTTTAGATATACTGTGGCCCTACATCAACATGGTATTGTTGTACAATACAGTCTACTGTACCTCAGTCTTTGATCCCTGTTATACTGTACTATACATTTATTTTACTAAGTGTTTCCTATTCTGATATGTTCAGAACGGGCAGTAACTACATTTTATTCACAATTACAAAAATGGAATCAGAAAAACAGGAGACTAACACATTCATAAATGGCAAAAAAGACAGTCAATAAATAAATAATAAGGATTAAGGTTTTGAAGTGTCTATCCTATATCTAGGAGATAGAAGACAAATCTGGAAGTATACACATATATTATTTACACATATTTAACCTCTTATTTCTGTTGGCACAAAACTACCTCCATACTTCCATTCATTTGTATGGGTTAACTTTAGACAAGTCCCGTGACACTTTTGGGGGTCGTTGAGCAAACGGAAAACACCATCATGAACACCATTAGTTTGTAGGACAACCCGTTCGGATGCTACAGACTAGGGGTGTGCCGACATGGCCTTAGTCGTATTCGTAATCGTATCCGTAAATTGACAGTTGATAGTTGGATCGGATGATTAAAAAAAGGAAGTGTTTTAATATGCCTAAATAGATTTTGGCAAAATACCTCCCTGCATATTCTAACTGTAAAAAAGCTGCAGATTAGGAGCAGCGTGGACGCAGAGGGTTGTGTGTGTGTGTCCTCAATTTGCAGCAGGCAGCCAAGTTTGCTGTCACTCAGTCAGAATGCACATCAGTGTTTTACCTTTTTCCCCTACCGTTGCCCCGCTTGTTAGACATTATGCACATTGATAGCTTGATAGCAAACGTCCTCGCCAAGTGATTTATCATAGTAGCAGGCAGCAGCAGTCTAAATGATCAGACCGAAAACATGCGTGGAAAACGAATCGGGTGAAATTTTTCAAATTTTCATTTTGTCCGACTACTAGGCACACCCCTACTACAGACGTTTCCGTGAGAAGACCGATTTTCGGGTTGTCTCCTGGTCTGACAAACACCGCTGTAGCTCTGCCACTTTCCACCACAGATGTGGAAGGGCGACAAAAGAGGATGATATATCTTGCTTAAACTGATGGATTTTAATGGAAATGTTTTATTATTACCAATGTACCAATGTATTATCTATAGTTAATATTAGTCCATTTTCCAGTTGGACAGGTAACTCTCAGCATGTAAGTTATTGCCTACCCTGCCTCCAAGCCCTAGACCTTTCCTATCTAAGTTATTGCCTACCCAGCCTCCAAGCCCTAGACCTTTCCGCTCTAAGTTATTGCCTACCCAGCCTCCAAGCCCTAGACCTTTCCTCTCTAAGTTTTTGCCTACCCAGCCCCCAAGCCCTAGACCTTTCCTCTCTAAGTTATTGCCTGCCAAGCCCCCAAGCGTTAGACCTTTCCTCTCTAAGTTATTGCCTGCCAAGCCCCCAAGCGTTAGACCTTTCCTATCTAAGTTATTGCCTATCCAGCCCCCAAGCCCTAGACCTTTCCTTTCTAAGTTATTGCCTACCCAGCCTCCAAGCCCTAGACCTGTCCTCTCTAAGTTATTGCCTACCCAGCCTCCAAGCCCAAGACCTGTCCTCTCTAAGTTATTGCCTACCCAGCTCCCAAGCCCAAGACCTGTCCTCTCTAAGTTATTGCCTACCCAGCTCCCAAGCCCTAGACCTTGAAGAGTTCAGGGTGCAGCCAGGAATGCAGACATTTCAGAGTGGCTCAGTAATTCCCTTCATAGTGCACTACTTTTGACCAGGGTCCAAGGCACCCTGTTCCCTTCATAGTGCACTACTTTTGACCAGGGTCCATGGCACCCTGTTCCCATCATAGTGCACTATTTTTGACCAAGGCTGCTATAAAGGGATTAGAGTGCCAGTTGGGACGGATACATTGAATGTCTCAGTAACTGAAGGCTTTTTAAAAATTCTTCCTACAATATTTGTGTCATTTAGATTTCAGTAAAATGGCTCAGTGTGCAGAAAAGGTCACGTTATGTGAAATCAATTACCTTCTAATGCCCGGAGGAACACCTAATTCCTCCACTGACAGATGGATTAGAAAAGCTCTTAGTATTGGAATTCACAAAGTCATATTTACTGACTGTACAGATCGAGGGAAATGTCGCACATGTAGTGTTAGGTAGTGTTAAAGTGGAAATAGAGAAATACTGTAAGTGTTATATTTAACTCTGTGGAAATAGAGAAATAATGTAAGTGTTATATTTAACTCTGTGGAAATAGAGAAATACTGTAAGTGTTATATTTAACTCTGTGGAAATAGAGAAATACTGTAAGTGTTATATTTAACTCTGTGGAAATAGGAACAAGACAAATAGACAGTGTTGTGCTGACTCTGTGAGGCTGAGGAGAGGCAGGCGGGGAGGGAGAGAGGGAGGCAGGGAGGCAGGGAGGGAGGCAGGGAGGGAGGCAGGGAGGGAGGGAGGCGTGGAGGGAGGGAGGGAGGCGAGGAGGGAGGCGTGGAGGCGAGGAGGGAGAGTTGAAGGTAGAAGATAAAAGCATCATTGTTCGACCCAAATGGCACCCTATTTCCAATAGAGTGTGGCTCTGGCCCTATGGGCCCTGGTCAAAAGAAGTGCACTATAAAGGGGTTAGGATGCCATTTGGGACTCACCCAGGCCTGGTTAGCCAGACAAACGAGCACAGGCCTCTGGCAGGGAGCGAGCACAGCATGCTGAATCCCTCGGATTAGAACAGAGCACAGCCACAGCCCAATGAAGCCCAATGCTACGGCTGCATACTGGATTAGAACACAGCCCAATGAAGCCCAATGATACGGCTGCATACTGGATTAGAACATAGCCCAATGAAGCGCAATGCTACGGCTACATACTGGATTAGAACAGAGCACAGCCCAATGCTACGTATAAATACTGTATTAGAACACAGCCCAATGAAGCCCAATGCTACGGCTGCATACTGGATTAGAACAGAGCACAGCCCAATGCTACGGCTGCATACTGGATTAGAACACAGCCCAATGAAGCCCAATGCTACGGCTGCATACTGGATTAGAACAGAGCACAGCCCAATGCTACGGCTACATACTGGATTAGAACACAGCACAGCCCAATGAAGTCTGTGTGTGTGTGTGTGTGTGTGTGTGTGTGTGTGTGTGTGTGTGTGTGTGTGTGTGTGTGTGTGTGTGTGGGGGGGGGGTGCTGGGGGAGGTTTTTAGGTGGATTCATTTTCAGTCATAACAGTCTTCAGTTCTGTGATGTTCCTACCAGGCATAACAGTTTTCAGTTCTGTGATGTTCCTACCAGTCATAACAGTTTTCAGTTCTGTGATGTTCCTACCAGTCATAACAGTTTTCAGTTCTGTGATGTTCCTACCAGTCATAACAGTTTTCAGTTCTGTGATGTTCCTACCAGTCATAACAGTTTTCAGTTCTGTGATGTTCCTACCAGTCATAACAGTCTTCAGTTCTGTGATGTTCCTACCAGTCATAACAGTCTTCAGTTCTGTGATTTTCCTACCAGTCATAACAGTCTTCAGTTCTGTGATGTTCCTACCAGTCATAACAGTTTTCAGTTCTGTGATGTTCCTACCAGTCATAACAGTCTTCAGTTCTGTGATGTTCCTATCAGTCATAACAGTCTTCAGTTCTGTGATGTTCCAACCAGTCATAACAGTCTTCAGTTCTGTGATGTTCCTACCAGTCATAACAGTCTTCAGTTCTGTGATGTTCCTACCAGGCATAACAGTTTTCAGTTCTGTGATGTTCCTACCAGTCATAACAGTCTTCAGTTCTGTGATGTTCCTACCAGTCATAACAGTTTTCAGTTCTGTGATACTCCTACCAGTCATAACAGCCTTCAGTTATGTGATGTTCCTACCAGTCATAACAGTCTTCAGTTCTGTGATGTTCCAACCAGTCATAACAGTCTTCAGTTCTGTGATTTTCCTACCAGTCATAACAGTCTTCAGTTCTGTGATGTTCCTACCAGTCATAACAGTTTTCAGTTCTGTGATGTTCCTACCAGTCATAACCGTCTTCAGTTCTGTGATGTTCCTATCAGTCATAACAGTCTTCAGTTCTGTGATGTTCCAACCAGTCATAACAGTCTTCAGTTCTGTGATGTTCCTACCAGTCATAACAGTCTTCAGTTCTGTGATGTTCCTACCAGGCATAACAGTTTTCAGTTCTGTGATGTTCCTACCAGTCATAACAGTCTTCAGTTCTGTGATGTTCCTACCAGTCATAACAGTTTTCAGTTCTGTGATGTTCCTACCAGTCATAACAGTCTTCAGTTCTGTGATGTTCCTACCAGTCATAACAGTCTTCAGTTCTGTGATGTTCCAACCAGTCATAACAGTCTTCAGTTCTGTGATGTTCCTACCAGTCATAACATTTTTCAGTTCTGTGATGTTCCTACCAGTCATAACAGTCTTCAGTTCTGTGATGTTCCTACCAGGCATAACAGTTTTCAGTTCTGTGATGTTCCTACCAGTCATAACAGTTTTCAGTTCTGTGATGTTCCTATCAGTCATAACAGTCTTCAGTTCTGTGATGTTCCAACCAGTCATAACAGTCTTCAGTTCTGTGATGTTCCTACCAGTCATAACAGTCTTCAGTTCTGTGATGTTCCTACCAGGCATAACAGTTTTCAGTTCTGTGATGTTCCTACCAGTCATAACAGTCTTCAGTTCTGTGATGTTCCTACCAGTCATAACAGTTTTCAGTTCTGTGATACTCCTACCAGTCATAACAGCCTTCAGTTATGTGATGTTCCTACCAGTCATAACAGTCTTCAGTTCTGTGATGTTCCAACCAGTCATAACAGTCTTCAGTTCTGTGATTTTCCTACCAGTCATAACAGTCTTCAGTTCTGTGATGTTCCTACCAGTCATAACAGTTTTCAGTTCTGTGATGTTCCTACCAGTCATAACAGTCTTCAGTTCTGTGATGTTCCTATCAGTCATAACAGTCTTCAGTTCTGTGATGTTCCAACCAGTCATAACAGTCTTCAGTTCTGTGATGTTCCTACCAGTCATAACAGTCTTCAGTTCTGTGATGTTCCTACCAGGCATAACAGTTTTCAGTTCTGTGATGTTCCTACCAGTCATAACAGTCTTCAGTTCTGTGATGTTCCTACCAGTCATAACAGTTTTCAGTTCTGTGATGTTCCTACCAGTCATAACAGTCTTCAGTTCTGTGATGTTCCTACCAGTCATAACAGTCTTCAGTTCTGTGATGTTCCAACCAGTCATAACAGTCTTCAGTTCTGTGATGTTCCTACCAGTCATAACATTTTTCAGTTCTGTGATGTTCCTACCAGTCATAACAGTCTTCAGTTCTGTGATGTTCCTACCAGGCATAACAGTTTTCAGTTCTGTGATGTTCCTACCAGTCATAACAGTTTTCAGTTCTGTGATGTTCCTACCAGTCATAACAGTTTTCAGTTCTGTGATGTTCCTACCAGTCATAACAGTTTTCAGTTCTGTGATACTCCTACCAGTCATAACAGCCTTCAGTTATGTGATGTTCCTACCAGTCATAACAGTCTTCAGTTCTGTGATGTTCCTACCAGTCATAACAGTCTTCAGTTCTGTGATTTTCCTACCAGTCATAACAGTCTTCAGTTCTGTGATGTTCCTACCAGTCATAACAGTTTTCAGTTCTGTGATGTTCCTACCATTCATAACAGTCTTCAGTTCTGTGATGTTCCTATCAGTCATAACAGTCTTCAGTTCTGTGATGTTCCAACCAGTCATAACAGTCTTCAGTTCTGTGATGTTCCTACCAGTCATAACAGTCTTCAGTTCTGTGATGTTCCTACCAGGCATAACAGTTTTCAGTTCTGTGATGTTCCTACCAGTCATAACAGTCTTCAGTTCTGTGATGTTCCTACCAGTCATAACAGTTTTCAGTTCTGTGATACTCCTACCAGTCATAACAGCCTTCAGTTATGTGATGTTCCTACCAGTCATAACAGTCTTCAGTTCTGTGATGTTCCAACCAGTCATAACAGTCTTCAGTTCTGTGATTTTCCTACCAGTCATAACAGTCTTCAGTTCTGTGATGTTCCTACCAGTCATAACAGTTTTCAGTTCTGTGATGTTCCTACCAGTCATAACAGTCTTCAGTTCTGTGATGTTCCTATCAGTCATAACAGTCTTCAGTTCTGTGATGTTCCAACCAGTCATAACAGTCTTCAGTTCTGTGATGTTCCTACCAGTCATAACAGTCTTCAGTTCTGTGATGTTCCTACCAGGCATAACAGTTTTCAGTTCTGTGATGTTCCTACCAGTCATAACAGTATTCAGTTCTGTGATGTTCCTACCAGTCATAACAGTTTTCAGTTCTGTGATGTTCCTACCAGTCATAACAGTCTTCAGTTCTGTGATGTTCCTACCAGTCATAACAGTCTTCAGTTCTGTGATGTTCCAACCAGTCATAACAGTCTTCAGTTCTGTGATGTTCCTACCAGTCATACATTACATTTACATTTACATTTGTCATTTAGCAGACGCTCTTATCCAGAGCGACTTACAGTTAGTGCATACATTTTCATACTAATCTCTTCAAATTGCATTCAATACAATATTCAGGGTCTCGCGAATGAGCTGCTTAGTTTGATACACCGACCACACGGTTAACAGCTATAGGCAGTAACCTGCCCTTCAGGGTCTGGAGAACATGTTGGGAGTAGGTCAGCAACCTTCTGATTCTGCACCGCAACACGTCAGAGAAAACACAGGACAGGCAGCCATTATGGTGGGAAGCCCCTCCACCTCTCTATGGAACCAGAGGGCTGTGTGTGATGGAGGAGTCTGGGCCGTAGGCTACAGGTCATGTGGTCTCAGACTGACCAACCAGACTGCAGCACACCTGAGGGATGGGGTGAGGGCAGTTCACATAGACTGACCAGACTGCAGCGCCCAACTCCTGAAGAGGTGATGGCAGCCTCGGATATCATCAACTTCCTACAGCCGCCCTTGTAGACAGACCAAAAGCCTCATTTTAGAACAGACCAGCCTCAGTGCCATCAGAACCCCAAAGGTATCGGGTCATTTTATGACGGATGCATTGTATTTTCTGTACGGCTGCCAAAGACAAACTCGTTTTATAATGACAGCCATAACGTGTTCAACAGACAGTCTTGAATCTGCAGCAGTGAAAGTCATAACAGTCTTCAGTTCTGTGATGTTCCTACCAGTCAGAAAATGCTTCAGTTCTGTGATGTTCCTACCAGTCATAACAGTCTTCAGATATGTGACGTTCCTACCAGTCATAACAGTTTTCAGTTCTGTGATGTTCCTACCAGTCATAACAGTTTTCAGTTCTTTGATGTTCCAACCAGTCATAACAGTCTTCAGTTCTGTGAGGTTCCTACCAGTCATAACAGTCTTCAGTTCTGTGATGTTCCTACCAGTCATAACAGTCTTCAGTTCTGTGATGTTCCTACCAGTCATAAAATGCTTCAGTTCTGTGATGTTCCTACCAATCATAACAGTTTTCAGTTCTGTGATGTTCCTACCAGTCATAACAGTCTTCAGTTCTGTGATGTTCCTACCAGTCATAACAGTCTTCAGTTCTGTGATGTTCCTACCAGTCATAACAGTTTTCAGTTCTGTGATGTTCCTACCAGTCATAACAGTCTTCAGTTCTGTGATGTTCCTACCAGTCATGAAATGCTTCAGTTCTGTGATGTTCCTACCAATCATAACAGTCTTCAGTTATGTGATGTTCCTACCAGTCATAACAGTCTTCAGTTCTGTGATGTTTCTACCAGTCATAACAGTCTTCAGTTCTGTGATGTTCCTACCAGTCATAACAGTCTTCAGTTCTGTGATGTTCCTACCAGTCATAACAGTCTTCAGTTCTGTGATGTTCCTACCAGTCATAACAGTGTTCTGGGTGCCCTCTAACAACCTCCTCCCATTTTAATATTCTCTAAAAAGATGATCTTGTTTGGGGATTGAACAGTCAGATTACAGAGGGTGTTATATCTGGAACAGGACAGACATGACTGGTGGATGAACAGTCAGATTACAGAGGGTGTTATATCTGGAACAGGACAGACATGACAGGTGATTGAACAGTCAGATTACAGAGGGTGTTATATCGGGAACAGGACAGACATGACTGGTGATTGAACAGTCAGATTACAGAGGTTGTTATATCTGGAACAGGACAGACATGACTGATGATTGAACAGTCAGATTACAGAGGGTATTATATCTGGAAATGGACAGACATGACTGGTGATTGAACAGTCAGATTACAGAGGGTGTTATATCTGGAACAGGACAGACATGACTGGTGATTGAACAGTCAGATTACAAAGGGTGTTATATCTGGAAAAGGACAGACATGACTGGTGATTGAACAGTCAGATTACAGAGGGTGTTATATCTGGAACAGGACAGACATGACTGGTGATAGAACAGTCAGATTACAGAGGTTGTTATATCTGGGAACAGGACAGACATGACTGGTGATTGAACAGTCATATTACAGAGGGTGTTATATCTGGAAATGGACAGACATGACTGGTGATTGAACAGTCAGATTACAGAGGGTGTTATATCTGGAACAGGACAGACATGATTGGTGATTGAACAGTCAGATTACAGAGGGTGTTATATCTGGAACAGGACAGACATGACTGATGATTGAACAGTCAGATTACAGAGGGTGTTATATCTGGAACAGGACAAACATGACTGGTGATTGAACAGTCAGATTACAGAGGGTGTTATATCTGGAACAGGACAGACATGACTGATGATTGAACAGTCAGATTACAGAGGGTGTTATATCTGGAAATGGACAGACATGACTGGTGATTGAACAGTCAGATTACAGAGGGTGTTATATCTGGAAAAGGACAGACATGACTGGTGATTGAACAGTCAGATTACAGAGGGTGTTATATCTGGAACAGGACATACATGACTGGTGATTGAACAGTCAGATTAAAGAGGGTGTTATATCTGGAAAAGGACAGACATGACTGGTGATTGAACAGTCAGATTACAGAGGGTGTTATATCTGGAACAGGACAGACATGACTGGTGATTGAACAGTCATATTACAGAGGGTGTTATATCTGGAAATGGACAGACATGACTGGTGATTGAACAGTCAGATTACAGAGGGTGTTATATCTGGAACAGGACAGACATGATTGGTGATTGAACAGTCAGATTACAGAGGGTGTTATATCTGGAACAGGACAGACATGACTGATGATTGAACAGTCAGATTACAGAGGGTGTTATATCTGGAACAGGACAAACATGACTGGTGATTGAACAGTCAGATTACAGAGGGTGTTATATCTGGAACAGGACAGACATGACTGATGATTGAACAGTCAGATTACAGAGGGTGTTTATCTGGAAATGGACAGACATGACTGGTGATTGAACAGTCAGATTACAGAGGGTGTTATATCTGGAACAGGACAGACATGACTGATGATTGAACAGTCAGATTACAGAGGGTGTTATATCTGGAACAGGACAAACATGACTGGTGATTGAACAGTCAGATTACAGAGGGTGTTATATCTGGAACAGGACAGACATGACTGATGATTGAACAGTCAGATTACAGAGGGTGTTATATCTGGAAATGGACAGACATGACTGGTGATTGAACAGTCAGATTACAGAGGGTGTTATATCTGGAACAGGACAGACATGACTGGTGATTGAACAGTCAGATTACAGAGGGTGTTATATCTGGAACAGGACATACATGACTGATGATTGAACAGTCAGATTAAAGAGGTTGTTATATCTGGAAAAGGACAGACATGACTGGTGATTGAACAGTCAGATTACAGAGGGTGTTATATCTTTATCTTTACCTGCAGGTTATCTGGTATGAATATACCAGCACCCATCATCAGCAACAAGAACTGGCTAAGACTCCATTTTGTGACTGATAGGAATCATCGACATAAAGGATTCACAGTTCAGTATCAAGGTAAGACAAAATGAACCAATTATTTAATGAATTCATTGACACGTTTGAACTATAAAATGTTATTTTTTCAACTGAAAGTCTTTGTCAACTGAATAACAACCAGAGGACCAAGGAACTCTTCATACAATTACATTGTCTTTATTGTGTTTCCATGTTCAATAGGTCCTCCTTGTTCTTTGATGCCTAATAACCCCTAATAACCCCTAATAACCATTAATAACCACGAATAATCACTAATAACCACTAATAATCCCTTACCAAGGAGTACTTTCAAACTACTACTTTTCTGGAGATCTCGTGTCTCCATACAGCGTTTCATCCTTATCTTGTCTACTGAATAATAACCAGTTCCATTCATTCTTCTCTGGTTTGTTAAAGA